ACTTTAGCACAGCCCCTGTGGAACATGTTTACTTAAGGATTTTAACCCCGCTTAGAAGTGAGAATGTGACTACAGCTGGACTGCCCCTCACTGAAAGCATTTGCTACGAATGTGTCTTCTGCTAATATGTTTAAAGATCTGTAATGAAAACAGAGTCATTCTGAAATAAAAGGGCATTGACATAGAAAGCAGTAATGGTTGATGCTATCTGTTTTTTAAGATAAGGGTTTTGTCACAAAGGCACGATTTATGGTGGGAATACTGAGTAGCAGTAGTGTGGCAGGTGATAAATCCCTTTTCTCACCACTGGATATTGAGAAAAAAGGGATACAAAGACCTTTTAAAAATAGGAAAAATAGAAGCACTTTAGGGCATGTAGTTTATGGAACACATAGTAGAGAAAGTGCAGTAGGACTGAGATTGTATGTTGTTGACTGAAATGTTTTAGTCTCATTTGGAGGAAAACCATAGTTAAGATACATTTTTGTAAAACTGAATCTTGAAAAACTTAGTCCACATACTGGACAGCAAAAAACATGCTTTTTAATGTAGTGCTTTCATGCAAGTTGAAGAGGTAGCTGTGATGATGATAAAAATTACTGCCTTTCTCTTCTTTTTATCTTGTGCACAAGTTTTCTTCTGCCCACAGCCAGGTAGTCAGGAGCAAACAAAAGCAGACACATTTATAGGATGTTAAGGGCAAGAACAAAACTAGTACCTTAGAGATGTTTTGGGAACCTCTTGGAAGGCATGAGTCCAGGGAGTGGTTATAGAGCCTGGGGACCTCCTGGGCACCTCCATCGTCCTCCTCTGTTCCCTGTGCTGGTAGAAACTTGATATATTGCCACATGGATGGGGCTCATACAGGTCACCCCTGATGCTGCCTTGTATATGGGAAGGCTCTGCTCCTAGATCAGTCAAAATCAAGAGTTAGCCTTTGAGGAAACCTGAAGCTAGGCAGCCGGTCAACTGGAGCAATAGATTACCTTAGAGAGGATTTCTTCTCTTTTAGAGGACTCCATGAATGTATAATTCCATCAGTAAGTGAGCATGTGGGTTAATGCCTCATTAATTACGTGTCTGGGGATATGTCAGGTGCAGGTGTGAGGACTCCTATGCCACATAGCATAACAACAAAAATCAATTCAAAAATTGTTCTCATATGCAGCCTTTACCTTTTTTTTTTTTTTTTTTTTGAGATGGAGTTTCGCTCTTGTTACCCAGGCTGGAGTGCAATGGCGCGATCTCGGCTCACCGCAACCTCCGCCCCCTGGGTTCGGGCAATTCTCCTGCCTCAGCCTCCTGAGTAGCTGAGATTACAGGCACGCGCCACCATGCCCAGCTAATTTTTTGTAGTTTTTAGTAGAGACGGGGTTTCACCATGTTGACCAGGATGGTCTTGATCTCTTGACCTCGTGATCCACCCGCCTCTGCCTCCCAAAGTGCTGGGATTACAGGCGTGAGCCACCGCGCCCGGCCTAGCCTTTACTTTTTGGCCAGTACAGAAACAAGTGAAATATGCCTGTAATTAATGCTATAAAATAGCAATTCGTGGTCTTAAATTTTGTTAATATTTGTCGTCTCTTCTAGATGTGTGCCTCATCAGATGGTCAGTCAGTATTCATTTGTTTCATCATTCATTTGTTTTCTCATTCATTCATTTATTCATTCACTTGAGAATTACTTGAGACCTTCTACATACCCATTGTTGTCCTTGGTGCCAGTACACAGCAGAGAAGAAAAAGGAGTGCTGTCTTCATGCTGCTTAATCCTAGTAGGGCTGAGCCAGGCAGCAAGTGATACCACATATATAATGTGTCGGTGGGGTAGTATAAGTGCTTGGAAGAATAATGAAGCAGGGTAAGAGAACAGAAAGTAACAGAAAGCTAAAGGCTGAAATGGCATCATTTTCTCAGCCCCTCTCAGGTGTCACTGTCACCCAACTCCTCTCTGCCACCTGCCTTTTATTCTGAAAACAGCCTTGTGAGGGGGCAAGCAGGACTGTCATTTCCATTTACAGATGATGAAACTCAGGCACAATGTTTAAGAGATGGCCAAGATGGCACAGCAGGTAGATGTCAGGTCACTTAGAGCCCCTGTTCTCAACCCCTCGAGAGTTCCTTCTGTTCACCATTGCCAGCCGTAGTCCAGCCCAGCACCTGGCGCTTTGGCCAGGGGAAGGCTCAGTGAGTGCATGTTTGAACTGAGGTTCTGTGCTAAGCACTGGGAAGGAAGAGAAAGGTAACCTCAGGTCCTGCATGGAGAAGATCCCAAACTAATGAGGAGTGCACCTGGGAACACCCTGCCACAAGGCTGAGGTTTGGCACAGGGTTGTCTGTCCGCTGTGTCTGTCTATATATGTGTGTGTGAGGGTGTGGGGGTGGGAGGCTTCTGAGAAAGCTTCACTGAGGAGCAGCTGATCTCATTGCAGAGAAGAGGAGAAAGGCATTCTGTGCAGTGGAAATTGTCAGTGTAGAAGCCTTGGGGCTTAAAAGAACGTGACATGCAAGAGACAGGAAATATGTACTGTTGTACAGGTATGCGGCACACGTGTGGCCCCCTCCCTCCCAGCCTCCTCACTAAAGATTATTAACCTGCTTATCCTGGTTCACCTGAGGCTGTTTTGAGAGAATCTCAGTCTTCATTTCATACGACATTCTTCGGGCTCCTCTTGTTCATCTTAACAGACTGAAGTATTTATGAAGGACCTTCAGAAATCTGATTCCTCCTGATGAATCAAAGAGTAAAGAAGAATTGAACATGATTAACCAGGTGAGGCAATGTGATGAAAAGGGGTGTGTGATTTAGAATAGGTGAGCTAGGTTCAAAGCTCAGCTGCAGCACTTACCTTGGGCCAGTTATTTTACTTCATAGGACCTCAGTTTTGTCATCTAGAAATAGGAATAATGATACCTACCTCCTGAGAGATAAAGAGCAGAACAAGAATTTCAGCAAGGCCCTATCGTTTCAGTTATCCTTCCCCTGCTACAGTGCAAATCTTTTTTAAAAACTGTAGGTCTGGCTTCCACTAATCAAATAGAAACAGTTAGAACATAAACTTGGGTCTGTGTGTTGCCCCGAGATATGTGTATCACCTCTTTTAATCTTAGGATTTTACTTTCCTCCTTGTGCTGTGGCTGATTATTTACTATTTAGGTATCGTGTAGCAAATATCATGTAATAGAAGGTAGGGCTATAAAAAGGGTATGCCACAAACAGTTTGGTTGTTGGCCAACAAGTCCCAAGCTGCCTCTGCTGCCATGTGCTACCATATCAAATGAGCTTCCCAGGAATCCCCTGCTGACATCGGTCTGTCTCAATGTGGGTGATATTTGGAAGGTCGTTTTGGTGTGTATTTGTGTTGATCATTATAGTAATGACATGCATTTACCACAGTTCTGTAGGAGAGCGACTCTCATCTGGGGTTTAGCTACAGAGCCCTTTGGATCTCCAGGTATCTCAAAGACTGTAAAACTTCTCAAGTCAAAACTAGTTTTAATCTTACTGCTTCAGAGATGCAATATGAAACATATGACAGCAACGAGTGTCTATTTTTGTAGCAACTCAAGCCTCCAGCTTTTTAAAGGAAAGATTTATAATAAAGGTACATAATTGTTTGTGGGGCTTTTAACCTTGATTTAAAAAAAAAAGGCTTTCCTGTTCATTATCGTATCTAGCTCTGGGGAGATAGCAGGTTAGTGATGATCTGCACCATTTTACAGGTGAGATCCCTGAGGTGGCTTGTGGCTTTGGTCGAAGATGCCATTTATTTTTGACTCCTGGCTTGATATGGCTCCTCCCTTGGCTGGCTCCTTCTTATCCCTAAACCCCTATCTTTGTAGCTTGTCTGTTACCTATCAAAAGAAGTTGTACCTGATTTCTCTATTGGAAGTTAAACCATTTTTCCCACCTCTGGTTTCCTTTCAACCCCTTATTTATTTCATTATTGCATTGGTCACTAGTTTTATTTCTTATTCTTTATTTGGCTTTTCAACTATAATTTTATTGATTAGTCTCTCTCCAGCATTAGAACAAAAACACATAAACTCCATGAAGGCAAGGACCCCATTGTTGTATTTTTGTTGCCCTAGGGAAGTGCCTGACACACCAGATACCCTTTGTTAATGTTTTTGGAAGGGGGATAGAACCTAAGTTTTCTTAGTTAATGTTTTTGGAAGGGGGATAGAAGTTAATGTTTTTGGAAGGGGGATAGAAGCTAAGCTGAACATGAGTGCCCATGTTCCAACAGCACAAAGTGGAAGGGAGGAAGGCTGTTTGAGATATGAGAATTCTTATAAAAGGGCATTTTTACAAATGAACCAGTTTTATACTTCAATATGTGTAGAGTTCTCTGGATCGTGTTTGGCAGATGAATAAGACTTGCTTGGGGGGGGGGATTTTTTTTTTAATTCAGTGGACTTTGAATTATAAGGAATTCCAATGCTTGTTCTTGTTCTGCTTGAGTAGAATTGATAAAATCTGTTAATCATCAGTTTTGCTTTAAACCCTTGAGGAATTTTTAAACTTTGGAAACTCAGGTCATGATTTTGAGCTTCTATTCCTGATAATGTACCTGGCATTAAAAAAAAAAAACATATTCTATTGTTACTAATTTTTTAAAGCCTTCTCATATTCATATATAGTTTGAAAGTCTTGTTCCTAAAACCCCATTTTACAGATTGTAGACTCCAATATATGGAAATAATTAAGACATTGTCTGCTCAATGTGGAAGTATACAGGAAAGTTATGAAAAGGTCCAGGAAGGATAGATGTCCATGTTGATCTAACTACCAGATTCTTAAATCATGTTGTTTTTACATCATGCCATATGGGTGAACCAGAACAATTCTGTTCTGGATGGCTTTTTGGAGGGCATGCCTAATAACAGCTACGTTTTTCTCTTACGGTTTTCCACTGGTCCAACTCTGTTACTTTAAGTATTTGGAGCTACAAGTAATAGAGGTTTCAAATCCAAACAGGTTAAACATGTTATTTTAGGTAGCTGAGTGGCCTTGTCAAGGATCCAAGTTGTTTGTGGTCCTCATTAGCATGTCAGAGTAGTCTCCTCATGGTCAAAATACGCCTGCCACAGGCTCAGGCATTTCGTCGAGGCATGACAGCCTCCAGAGACACCAGCAAGACATTGTTTTCTCGTCTCTGTAGGTGTGAAGAAAGCTTTCCAAGAAGCCCTAGACTAGACTGCCCTTTGTCAGTGGTTTGCTGGACAGAATGAGTCACACTACTAATAGTACTGTGGACCATAAATTACTGTGAATGGCTTGGACCAATTGGGATTTACGCACTTTCTCTGAGGGCAAATAAAATATGAGTCATGCCATCAAAGGAAAGGCAGCAAAGAGATGAGTAGGCAATAAGTGGGCATTGCCATACCAGATTCATCCTACTGGAAGCCCCTTTCTGGATACATTTTTTGCTCTCAAATAATGAGCATTTGACAAAATCAGGACAAAGAAGTGATTCTTTTGATGCAGAGTTCCTTCCATAAATTCAGATTTTCCTTCTGAATTTTCTAGGAGAATTTCATGGATAAAGACTAGACCTTCCTTCACTATTTTCTCTTACAGGTTGTGCTCACAGTTCATGTGACTATTTTGAGAAAACATTATCATTGCATTTTAATCTGAAGACTTGTGAGCCTGCCTGTTTATCAGTTGAGATTTTCTAAAATTCTTGTGCTAGAGAGAGTATCATTTTGTGTAAACTAGGAAAAGAAATTGGTTCAAGTAAGTCTAACTGCAAAGTTGCTGAATCAAGGTATCCCTTTCTCTCTCACACAACAAAAATTTAAAATATAATTTAAAATTGTCAAACAATGATCATGTCACATCTGGAAATTTCAGGTTTTTACTCCCTTGTCTTTTTTCCTAATAACCTGAATGCTCTGCATATTCAGGCTTTCAGCTGTTTGACTTTGCTGGAGGTAAGAAAAGGTATCCAGTTAATTTCACTTTTCTCAGATGTGACTCATTTCTTTGACATAAAAATCCTTATCTCACAGACTAAGCCTCAGGAATTGGTTTGAAGAATGAAGACAAACCTGGCTTTTATGAGAATAGAAATTTTTTTTTTATTGGAAACATAGTTTTCAACAAAGAGTCAGGTTGGAAAGTGGTAGGATTTGTCCCAGCTTCCCAGGGCATGGTGGAAGGTGAAATAAGACCACAGATTTATGAGCCCGATCCTTAGAGACAACATTCAGAAACATGAACTGTCAGTTCATTCAACTTTCTTTTTTCAAATAAGGAGATGTAGGCCTAGAGAGATTAAGTGACTTAAGCACTTCCATTAATTTTTGGTGGATATAATATTTCCCTAAAGCACTGAAGAACAGGGAGTATATACAGTGTTGTATAGTGCTGTGCTGTCTAATATTGTGTATACAGTTACCTTAACATTCTGTACTTTGGTAACTTTGATAATGCAGATATAGAAACTGGTAGTAATGGTGGTAATGATGATGAGGATGACCATGAAAATCATAATTTATTGAGCACTTACTGTATGCTGGGCAGAATGTTTATTGCTTTACTGGCTATAACACAATAATTATATGATTGCCCCATTTTACAGATGAAGAAAGCGAAGTTTAGAGGTTAGACTTGCCTAGTGTCACACAACTGGAAGTAGCAGAGTTAGCATTCTAGCTCATATTTGTCTGATTTCAGAGCCTGAGCTCTAAATTATGAGGCTTACCACTAATTACTGGGGCGGGAGAGGATAGTGTTTATGATGCTGAGAAGGAAAGTTCCTGAGTGGCATCAGGAATGACTTGGAAAAGTGAAAAGCCCTAAGAAGGATAAGACCATGCAATGGGCATAAGGGATTGTGTAGAACAGGTGAAAATTGGAGTTGCCTCTTCAACCCGCAAGAGAAAGTGCAGGGCAGAAAAGAAACCTCAAGAAAAGGGGTTGAGCTTTGAAAGGAGAAGTTGGCTACAGGCGCTGGAAGGGCTGATGGAATGTAGGTGGGGCAGAGGTTGAGATCCTGGCCCCCCCATGCCACACACCCCAAATTGAGGCCACATGGCTGTCAGTGAAAACAGACCCAGGTGCTAGTTTCAATAAAAGGTTGGACAAGGACACAAAGAAGGGTAGGGAGGGCAGACAACAGCTAAGGTCTCAATAGCTCTGCAAAGTAGGCACATGGCTCCCAGGATTAGCAAACACATTTTTCATGAGAAGACAGAATTTTCTAGATGTTAAGTGACTGTTGTAAATCATTTAGCTGAGATTGTCAGTCCCCATCTTTGGGGTATGTAGTGTAGAGTTATACAGATTTGGCTACCGAAGGCATGACTCGGGCAGAGAGAACTAGAGGAGCCAGGAAGAGGGCAGCCTAGGCACAGCCTCTAAATTAGCAACTGTGCTCACGGCAGCCCAGAAACCCAGGGGAGAACATATGTGCTCAGGGTGGCTGCATGTCCATGGTCATAATTACACTAACACCCAATAACAGAGAGGTTACCTTGTGGTTATGAGCCTGGGCTCTGGAGCCAGCCTGCCTCCAGTTCTACCTCTGTATCTTCTCGCTGGGTTACCTCTATTAGATTGTTTTCACTCTCTGGGCCTCAGTTGTCTCTTATGCAAAATTGGAGTAATAATTGTACCTCATAGGATGTTGTAAGACTTGATTAAGCATGTAGAGCAGGAGTCAGAAACCTTTTCTATTAAGGACCCAATAGTAAATATTTTTGGCATTTATGGCCATATAGTCTCTGTCACGACTATTTAACTCTGCCTTAAGTTGGTAGAAAATTCAGGCATTTCAAAAAACTGTCTGCCGTAGGAGACTGGCAAAAGCCCATAGCAGGCAAATGTCTCTTGATTTATAAATGAAATTGTATAAAATAAGAGCGATAAAAATTAGACTTCTGATTCCAAATTATCAACACAATTATGCAGAAAACAGACAACTTTTAAAAAAATATATAAGGTTTTTAGTCTATGTATAGGTGATTATAAGAGGCATGTTCCTTCTGCAGTTCTGCTTAGCTTTCTCCCAAACACTGCTTTTGATTTATCCAGCTCATCCATCTTTTTTTTAAATAGAACATATAATTTGTCAAGTTGCAGCCCATGGTTAAATAAGTATCACCAGAAAGTCTGAAAATGCATTTTCCATTTACAGAAAAAAGGGTTAAGCTGACTTAGAAATGTTTTATGTTGACAGTATCACTTAAAGGAGATACACTTCATTCTTAATGTGGAACGTAACTGAGAAGTGTATTTTGGAATCATTTCTAGTAAAGAATTATCTTGTCCTTTCCCCAAATTAAAAAGAGGAAGAAAAGAAAATGAAGTACAAAAGCCTTGTTGTTGTGCTGTCTATTCAGGCTTTAATGGTGGGATGGGGGTGGGGCCCATATGCACCCATTGCACCCCAAATTATATAAGCTTCAGAAGCATTTGCGCTAAATGAAGGCCGTAGATGGCATGCATTTAACGGGGCTGACCTTGGTAAATAGAGATTTGTGAGGGGGAGGATGGTTTGGTGACACAGATTCTCCAAAAGCAAAGTGAGGTCTGAGTAATGATATACTTTGCGTGTAGTTTACAGGGAATGGAGATTTTTTTGTTTATTCTTTTAAAGGGACTCTAGAAACCACGTCTAATTTCAATCTAATGAAATACCTCCTAATGCTAGGGGTTTTTCAGGTCAGTTTCCTAGGAGAGATATCTCATGCCCATCTTGTACTGGTTGTTCTATGTACAAAACACTGTTTATATTTACACTCACCTACTGGATTTATTTTATTAGTTTTGACCCTGTTGATGTTAATGATATTCTTGTGACTCTTTTGATCTGTTGGACATTAATGTATTATGGGTCAGTTAGCTCCCACTATATGCAATAGAGAGAGGTGGGGAGAGAATACTGAGATGTCAGTTCACAGACCTCTATATATGTGAGTGTCATGGAGATTTAGGCTGTTCTATTCCATTTTAGAAACTATAAATTAAATCAGATCAAAAGATGGTTTTTGACCAAAATTTATAAATTTCCTAGTAAGTGTTGGCACTGAAATTTAAGGAGCAGATGTTATCTTCTTGAAATTCAGGAAGCTCACATGAATTCTTAATGAAAAACAAACAACTTTTCCAGAAAAAAAAAAAAAAAAAGATGACTTGGGTTTCTCTGTGATGTTAATTGTACCAAGTTATGATTATGTGTTTCAAATCACCGTAAAAATTGGGGAAAGAGGTTTTTTTTTTTAAATTTGCTTGTCTGGAAATTGAGACATGGGATTTCAGGAGTTCTGGCCCAAACACGTGCCTCAGAAAATGGGGCAGACAAGCGCACAAGCATCCGCATGTGAGGATCCGCACGCGAAGATGCACGTGAAGACCACAGCTTCCTTTCCTATTCTCACCGTGCAAGTGCATCATTTTTCAACAGTAGTTCAGTTCAGCCTTTTTTAGATAATAGCCTTGCAAGTGAGCAGACTAGCAAAGTCAGATGCTGAGAAATAAAGCTTCGATGCTTACACATCCAAATGATTAGGATACACCTGAGATGTCTCTCTCAGTGAACAGAAACATCCCTGGAAGCCCTAGACCTCTGAGGCACCCCAGCTTTCCCTGGTGAGTACAGTAACCTATTTCCTTCTTGACATGCTATGGAATCAGCTGGAATGCTCATCTCATTGTAGCCACTAGTAAGAAATGCACCTTGCTCTGGTCACAGCAGTAGTGATGGATAACGTATGAGACTTTAAGAGTGGATGAGCCCTAACGGTTGAAAGGTTGGCAGCTTTCAGAATGTTTGCCACCTCTCTTTAAAAGCAGCTCCACCAGAGCAGTTTGGCAAATGTAAAGACAAAACAGTTACACTGCTTGCAGCTCTGGGATTTTAAATCACAAACAAATTGTGTATTTTATTCAACCATACAGTAGATCAATGAGAAGTAGATCATCCTAACTGAAGGTGAGAAAGTCTTTGTGTAAAGTTTATTGTCTGGATTTCTTTATGTGGTTATGTTCTGCTGATAGGCAAATATACTTAATTTTTGCATGGTTTCTGCAGAGGAGCTGTTTACATAGTTGCTTATTCTTCTCTTCCCTTCCCTTGTCTTCCCTGTTTCTCTGACCAACACCATTTAGACCTAGCAAACAGACTTTAGTGTACAAGTGTGCCAGACTCGTTTCATGCCCACTAGCCGTGACTCATTGTCAGTCACCTGGAGCCTAGGAGGCTTTCTGCATTAAGAAATCTTTTACTCCTGATACTGCAGTTTTCTGGTTCATGAGTGAGGCTTGGCCCTGGCTGTGCTAAACACAGAAATATCTGTGTTCTAAAACCTCCATCTCCATAAAATTAATCTCATGCTGATACAAAGGGATCCATCTGCAGAAAATTTCCATCCCAAGAATATGGGAAAAGGGGCAGATACAATTGAGCATGCAAAGGTGCATTTAAACATTTAAACCCCTTTGAATGAGGAGTAGGTTGAGTATTTCTCAGTGAACCAAAATGTGTCTGACATGCCATGGAGCAGATATGCTTAAACGATTTCCCAGTTCAATATACAGTGGTGCAGATTTTCTTACGGAAGGTCTTGTTTCTCCATCTGTATATTGTGCTCCAGAGCTTTTGCTCCCAAACACACCCTTGTATAGTTGGGGGGTAGGGAGCACTCAGCCTCAAAATTGAATTCTGCCACTTATTCCACTCTCTCTGTCTTTCCTGGCCTCTGTTTCTTCATCGGTAAAATGGGGACAGTAATATGGTCATAGGATGCTTGTAACAGTCAAATTTGGCAGATTGGTGCAAATTGTTCCGCACAGCTTTTAGTACATAAAAGGAGCTCTTCTAAAATGTTTTTCTTCTCTTGAGAGTTTTCAGGGGAAAGGTTTTGAGGAAAAAGGTTTCAAGCCTTATTGGATTAAAGTCATGTTCGTTCCTACAGATTGTTGGTTCTCTTGAGAGTAGGCACTGTCTGGGGCAGACTCTGGGATATGTCCCCTGCAGAAACCTAAGTTTTAACATAGCCCATGCTAATTCCATCATGTCAGTGACAGTGGGCATGGCAGAGCTGCTCCCGCCCTTGACAGAAAATAGTGTATGTACTTTGTAAATGAACTGGGTACTCACATGTTCTCTGGGAATGTAAATATTGACTCTAAGGAAGAACTAAGATAATTTTGTGGTGAGATAGTCTCTAGTTGTTTAGGCTTTCATTTTACTTTGTTTTAATTGCACACACATTGAAACTATATTCCAGCCTTGGCCAAACTTCAGTCATTCAGATACCACCATCTATCCTTCTATCCACATTGTTATTTAATACTTTTATTTAAATCCCCTCTTTTAAAATGTCAACTTACTTTAAAAAGCAAACCGTTTCTTTCCTACATAAATAGGAAATAAGTATCACATGCAGTAACTAGAAGGTGGCTTTGATGTGCAGTGAAAAACAGCATCTTTACATCAGCTGAAGGCTCCAAAGCCTGAAGCCCATGTGCAAAAGGGAAATTAGCAAGTGTGTGAGAGGTGTTTAAGACACTTTCACACCAAACAGAGAGACTCTCCTTAATATAGACTCCTGAGACAAGTTTGGAAGGTTTTTTTGTTTGGATTCTTGTGTCAACATATTTTGTAGATTAGACCTCATTTAATGTCGTAACCTCATCTTTTATTAATATCACTATCATTGAGGGTTTTTGTTACCCCTTCCATAAAATAGCACCGGAAACAAAAGAAAATAAAGTTCTACACATTGCTGGGTCAAACTGTGAAACTGCATTTAAAACAAAACAAAACCACAGTGTTGAGTAACTCTTTCTCAGTTAAGCCTTCAGGTTGAGAACAACATTGTCAACCCTGCATAATATTAATTCCAAAACCACTGAAAGGCATCAGCCAGAGAAAGGCCTTGACAACCCCCGCCATCCCAGTAATTGTGGTTAATTGTGTCTGCCAGAGTGTTCCAGCTGCTTGGTGTGCCTGGGGTCTTACTGAGGATAGGCATTGTGTCTCAACAGTACTGTCGCATTTCTCTTGAAATCTCAGCCTAGGAACAGGCATATAGTCGGTTCCATCAACAAATTCTTGGGTAAACTGGAAGTGTCCTGCAGCTTGCCAAGCAGAGCAGAAGCATGTCCTTGGAAGCACTTGTGATCCCCTTGCGTAGGCTGTCAAACTGCAGCTCTGTGGTGTTCCCAGCTTGCAGGGTTAATATCGAAACTCACAGGCTTAAGAGAGTCCATGATTAAGAAGTTATTGTAAAGCTTACACAGCATATTTACTTAATTACAGTTCTTTATTTACCCTCACCTTCCATTTGCATTTGCAAGGAATCGAGGGAGCCTGCTGTGTTTCTCTTGGAATGGATTCTCCAAAGGCTTAGAGACCTACTTCTCCCTTTCTTTATCAGGTCCTCTGGGTCCCAGCCCCTGACCCAGGGAGCAGACTGAACAGGAAAAAGAGGAGGAAGGAGAGTTTGCTTATTCACATTTCTGTGTCTGGGTGCTGTATCTCTGACTGCAGAAAGGCCAGTGAGGGATGAGTCATCTAGTTTATCCACTTTTGCCTATAAATCTCTTTTGTTGGAGTAGATATATTTTGAGAGAAGCCATAATTTGCTCTGTGGAAAGTTGTTAATGATAGATAAAGAAAATTTAGTTTTCCAAACAGTATTTTTGAACCTTGCAGTGATACTTATACCTTAGAAGAAACTATCATACTATACAAAAATTAGGACATTTAAGATTGATACTTAGTACTTTGTTTTTTAAATTATCTCCCTGCTTACTTTCCAGATATGATCCTGGAGACTTTTTTTTTCTCCACATACCCAAGCAGCTTTCCCTCCTTGGTATAGAGCTAGCCAAAAATTGTATTGGTATTACGTAAACATAACTGGTTATACTAGAGGGCTATTTTTGGAAACAGAATTTCTGTATTTGATTTTTTCAGTCCTAAAGAAAAAAAAGTATTAAAGATATAAATTTTTTAATGTAAAAATTATGCATTTTCGTTTTATAGTGCATACAGAAAAATACGTAACAAGGTGAAAGTCAACTCCCCAAAGATAATCACATAACACTTTAGTGTGTTTTTTCTTTTTACACACAGAAAAAAATTGAGGTCATACCATTTAACTCTGAGTTTTTGTATTTTTGTTTCTCTCTCTTGTCTGTAAGATATAAGTTGAAGTTAATGTTATTTAATCTTATAAAACTCACTGATTACAGAGTTAAGTGATTTTAAACAATCTTTTAAAATTTTGTTGCATGCCTTTTGAATCATTATAACAACGTAGTCTCCCATATCTCTACATATTTTTCAGAAATTTAATGTTAGTTGTTAGACATAAGATACAACATTTAAATAGTAAATGGGAGAAAATTGCCAGTGAAATTAATTGGTTAAAAGTACTGAGATAAATTCCATCTTTGTAATTACTTTTCTGTTATTTACAGTCATTAGTTTGATTACATACTGTGTAATATGAAGCCTTGGATTTAAAGTGTATCATTGTTAACCTAAAATGGGAATAAAGAATAGCCACATGCTCAATTTTAGTGCCACACAAGAATGAAGAATTCATATCATAAGATGAGAAATAGTCACAGAAATCCAACTTAAAACTAGTGATCAGGTTCCAAGCGAAGATACCTCAGATTTTATTAACTTGAAGCAGCTGTTGTCTCTAGTATGACTCACCCTCCTTGCCCCCCAGAAATGGAATAGGTCTTATAAAATAAAGAATACTTGTGTTGTTTCTTTTTTAAAGCAGCTGGCTTCCCATCATTGAGCTGTTTTTGAGTTCAGGAACTCCAGCTCTTAACCTTTTCCTTATGAGAGGGAAGGCTGAGGCTCTTAGAGGTTTTTCCCTGTGCAGCTGCTGGAAGGACAGGGTGAAAGAGGAAAGAGCCTTTGACCAAGTTCTGTGCGGGGTCTGGGCACAGTGGTGGGGGGATTGGGAAAGAGGGATGGATAAACCATATCTGCATCTGTCAGCACCAGCCTTGCTGCTGGGTGCCTTATTGTCATAAACTCTCAGTAATGGGAGGGACAGGACAGGGGACAGTCCCAGGGGCATGTGGGAGGGGCTGGAAAGACAGGCAGATTCCAAGGGACAGCTGCTGGGAGGAAAGGCTGCTCGTCGGCCAGGTGTGCATGGTTCATGGTTCCACCATGGAATTCCAGGAGAAGCACTCGAATCCCAGCCTCCAGCATTCCTGAAAGAGACAAGTCGGGAAGACCCCCGGCTGGAAGGAACTGGAGTTCCTGGCTTGCTGAAGTTGACTTGCTGTGTGACCTCTGGTGTCCTTCAAAGACCTGCTCAGATGTCATTCTTCAGGGCTGACTTTGATTCCTAGCATGAAAGCATCTCCATGCACTGAGGGGTTGTCCCTACCATGGTTTCGAGTTATGGATTAGCATGATTATTTGAGTAATATTTTCCTCCCCCTATTTATCCACCATTTTATCCCTAGCATCAGGCCCCACACCTGACATCCTGAAGTCCACCATAAAAATTCATCAAAGGAAAAGATGACCGTTATTTATTAAGCTTTCTGAAATCTTTTGACAAAAATATGTATGAAAGTCTTGATACCTCTTTTTTAGGTGAGAT